GAAACCTAAGGCGGCTACAGTAATAAAGGGGGACCTTTTGCAATGTAAATCAAGGAGGAGGCAAGAGACTCTTAGCATAACAAGTTGTAAGAGACATGCTAGCAGGAGGTTAATCTTCATAGTCTAAAGGTGTGTTTTGTTTTGTTTTTTTTTCAGTGACATCACCTTTGGAGGAGGATGGGAGAAGAGAATAAATTGGGAGGGGGTAACAGGACTAAGGCGATGGGGAAGAGAGAAGGCAATGAGAGAGAGGGAATGAGCAGGAGGGCAAAAGGGGCACTCTGGCACAACCATGTGAGAGGCCACAAGATGTACCTAGGATCCCAAGGACCCTGCTCCTGAGGACAGAACTCATGGACACTGAACAGAGAAGTTACTCTCAAATTTGCCACTTGTGGCTCTGGAGGGGATGGAATATTCTCCAGGACTTCACTTGACTTTGACTAACTAAACAATAAGATCTTTTTGTTGTAGACTATAGTCTCCTCCTTTCTTGGATTCTTGATTGATTCACTGGTTCATTCAACAAGTATCTCCTGAATGTCTACCTTGTGCCAGGTACAGTTCTTGACACCTGGGATAGAAACATGACTCGGATGTAGTCCCTGCTCTTGGGGATCTCACATAGTCCAGCTGAGGAAACAGGTATATAACGATTGTGGTGGCATAAGACTAAAGTGCTGGGGCCACCTTGAAGGCTCCAGGACAAAGTAACCTTTGAGATGCTTATTAAAGGAGACAGAGGAGTCTCCAGGCTGAGGAAGAGCATGACAGTGTGAGAGACCAGCATATTTCAGGAACAGGGAGAGGTCTGGTATGGTTGAAGGGATCATGAGGCCTAGCCCAAGAGAGGAGGCTGATGAGGAGTATAGGGCTAGACTGTGAAGGACCTTCTATGACTTGTAGGGGTGAGGGTAGTGTGTGAAAGAGATTTTATTGTGGGGACAATAGGAAGCTAGCAGAAGTATTTAATCAATGGAATGGTATGATCAAATTGTGTGCTTAAGAAGATAATCACAGTGAATTAAGTCTAGAGCTCCAGCACAGAGCCAGGTTTGGAGCTACACAGTGGACAGCCATTGGTGCCTGGGGTAGTTCAAGTCATGAGTGAGGACTAAGAATGAGAACAGTGCCAAGAATGGGAACATGGGAACACTAAGTTTAAGGGGTAAGAGGAAGAGAAAGAGGCAGTGAAGGAGATCAAAGGCATTACCAGAGAATATGGAAACCAAAAAAAGAG